GACCAGAGCCACGATCGACAGACTTCTTCAGTTTGATTTGGGATCTCTTTACCGAAGTATTTCTGATTATGTGGTGAGTTATCACTCATTCAGACATCCATTTCCCTACCAATCCCTCGCATTCACAAATATATCTCATCCACACATAGAGTCCCATATTCTTCGGCAAAGCTATGGAAGACTTAAAAGAAGACAAACTGAAGGAAACGCTCGACTTATTCGACTCAATGGTAGCCAAAGAGCGGTTCCTCTGCGGCGACGACCTGTCTTTGGCCGACATCTCGATCATCACCGGTCTGTCACTACTGGAGGCCACGGACTACCCGTTGAGCCTTTGGAGGAATGCTTGCAAATGGATGGACGGAGTGAAGGATCGGCTCAAAGACTTCTACAAAGAGATGAACGCAAAGGCCATCGAAAACACGCGACAATACGTGAAGTTCTTGAGAGACGTCAAAACAGACATCAAAACCGATAAATGAGATAAAAGTCTTCAACACTAACCACAAGTCTTGAGGACTTCCAGCAAAACAAACACAAAAACAACCGACGATTCAAACCACTCGTCCGCTCAATACAACGACTCGGATATGAAAACCAATTCTTAAAACTTTTTATTCATTAATAATTTAATTACTTTTGAAATGTCGTTAAAAATTAAATAAATTATAAGCTTTTAAAAGAAGGAAAACATAAATTAATAATATATATAAATTACATGTGTTTTTGTCAATTAAAATGAATGGTTTGACTAAAAAAAGTTTATTATGTGAGGGAAACCTAATTACAAATAAAAATTGCTTTCTATTTGTACTATATATTAAATACATTAATAATAATTATTTTGCATTATTAATACATTTCCAATCATGTAGACCTTGTTTTACTGTTTATATTATAATAGCATTTATTAAAATTTGAAAAAAAATTGGAAAATTTATAAAGAACAATTAAATAACAATTTCTTCATAAATTGAGTTAAATATGAAATCAAAAAATAAGTAACTTTTTATAAAACAATTACATTTAAAAAGTTATTGAGATATAAAATTTTAGTTTAAAATCGTATATAAATACAAAACTATTGGTGAAAGTCTTGTATCATATCATTCAGAGACAAAAGTTTACTTCAGTTATCCAGTATAATATATTATGAGAATATTTATTAATTTATTGAACTAGCTAGTTTATTACTGAATGCTTAAAATAAAGGCATTTATAAACATTATGTGATAATTGATTGTAACTTTAAACTATTTTATAAACGTTATAATAAGCTTTTCTATACTAGTAGTGCATAGTAAGTACATTACAACATAAATCAATTGAATAAATATTTTAAAGCAACTTATTTCAAATTCTATATGAATTGTTATTATTACAATATTACAATACTGTATAATAATGTAACCCTAACAACATAAATATATTATAATACTAAATCAATGTATTATAAGTTATTATACTTAAGTTTACAAACATGAAAATGTAATTATCTATTTTCATATTTATATTTGAATAGTTAAATATCATTTGTAATAATAATATATTTTGGCATTAATATTGATTTAACTAGAAAAGTAGCTAATCGAAAATGTTTTTAATGATATATTATATTTAGAATACATACAAAATCAGTGTATATCGTAAAGTAGACATACATTAGTAGAGTATAAGTTACTACAGTACTGTATAAAATGGTTATATCAAACATATATTGTGATTATATATATTCAATTCTTAATTTTTTTAAATATAAGCTTAATATTATACAGACATCTGTAATTACACGGATGCTGAGTTTATTTTATATAATAATTGTTTGGATAATAGATTTTTTAACTATAGTTTTCAGGTCAATCAAAATTATAGTATTTGTGGTTAAAAGTAAGATTAATTATTCATTCAAATCATATGTAAAACTATTGGTGAAAGTGTTGTGTCTTTCAGTGCTATTCTATAGTGGAATAGAAGTGACAAAAGAGTACTTCAGTTATCCTTATGTTTATCGACTGAGTG